CAGCCGTGAGTGCCATAAAGATGGCAGCATCCTCTATGCATGTTACGTGTCGCATGGTCAGTTGCACCGACGGTTTGCTGCTCTCATTTTCCCCGTGAACTCTGCAACTCATTACAAAGCTGTCCGAGTTTGGGGTTAATGCTTGAGCTTTCCCCAAAGCAACCAGCTCTCTGGCCTTAAAGCGTCGGGACGAAGAATCAACCAAGCTCCCGGGTTGGACTTGGCAACCCAATCGGAACCTGTTGATGGAACAAAGGGCGTGGTTATGAAGGTCGCCGCAACAGCCGAGCCGGACAGATCATGTATCTTCACCTTCCATCCTTTCCTCTCTCTTCTCCCTGTCTCTATGTCTAAATTGTCACCCGAACCTGACAAGTGTTCAATGAATCAACTTGCACTACCCTGTCTCGACTGAATTCACAACTGAAAATCGGTTGTTTGTACAGGGAAACCTTGGATTCATATCTCACACGCACATGGGGCAGAGAATGTATGAATTCTGGCTCTCGAAGAACTCAGGGCCGTTTCACGAATCCTCAGACCTAGTGAGTCTATTGACAACCTAATGAAAACCTGAGGATCCATTATTGTCATGCGAATTTCCTCATTGTAAAAAGCTTAAAGCTACAACGACTTGAAAATCCTTTGAATGAAGCTTGTTCTTCATACAGCAGTTGAAAGAAACAAATTTACAGGAAAGAAAAACGTCTACCCAGACTCCAATATTCCTTTGTCTTTGCCTCTTCAATTTCTCAATATCCCCGAACTCCAGATTATTTTGCGAGTTTATTGAACCATTTATAATAAAATTTCTTTATTCGATTTCAGGCTTTGGTGGATACCGTCGAAAGTGAAATCTGGAAACAATGAATTCCATGCAATGCATTATCATTAATTAAATCCCATCACCCAATAATTTATCCACTACTACCTACTATTTCATCCCCATTCATGTTTTTCTTTTAAAAATAAATTGCCCATTACTTTAAAAGATATCTATTATTGAGTGGCCCTCAATTTGTTTAAAAGATATCATATTTAATCTAGAAAAAAATAACCCCTACATTGGGGTGTTACAATTCTCCCCTCCTTAAAAGAATTCCGTCCTCGAAATTTAGTCATGTCACTGAATTGTAGAAATGAAACTTTTATCAGTTCTTTCATATCTTTCATGTAGCTCTTATAGAAATACGGATCCTCCACTAATCCTTAACCAATTGAGTATATATATTCTTATCAGAATTTTTTTCTCATCTCAATAAAAGAATCCGAATGAAAATTTCCTTGAGTAATCAATTCAGTCTTGGTTACGAGAATAAGCTCATAGAGCAGTAGCATATCCCAATTTCATTTCCGGAGTCGAGTCAGAATTTCTCAGATGAATAACTCTCATATGGCTTGTGAGGTACTTTACAGCGATTAGACAAATGTTATTGGTATTTCTTTTTGTACAAGTATAACCTTAACAGATGGAAACTTTGGTTTACTCGCTACAGATAAGGACTCAGCCCTGGAGTTTCGGCTCAGAGAGGTACGATTGCAGTCTAGGGGCATGTACTGATCAGACATTTTTTTGACATTCGACCGGCCAGTCTAACTTGAAAATTTTTGACTCAAACCATAGCCATGATACCACTAAATGTAACCCCCTCAGACCGATAAGGGTAACCTGATCTGATCTGGAGTGTTACATTAGGGCCACTGGAGCGACCCACTGTAAAAATAGCGGAAAATTTAAAAATTTTATCAAAACATGTAACTTATAAAATCATTTATCAGTATTCAGAAATAAAACAGATTTTCAGACTCGTATATAAAACAAAATACAATTACATGCCCCCTAATCATATGTACCATTCTCTAGAAGCAACGCCGGAAGAACTCCCATACTGATGACGATAGTTGCACTGGTACAATTCTTTTAACCTGCAATGTTGAGTAATAGAGTGAGCTTAGGAAAGCTCAGTAATACATAACTACCAGATGATGCTGAAGAACGTGCAGATACAGATAAATATATATTTTCTTATTGGTTCTGAACATCTATGAATTTTCATGTAGAGCGGAGATCCTACTGATATTTCATATAGTAACGGACAATGAGTTTTCAGTTCAGATGGAAATATTTCGGATGTCTAGGTTCAAGAGATCAGAATAGGTTATCTAGTGTGTTCCCATAAAACTAGTAAAAAGATACATAATTTTTTTTAAAATATATATATATACACCCCCATCCTTTCACAATCTGTTTGTGTAGGTTCCCCGGAACCATACACCCCGCACAACCAGTAACAGTAAGGCCCTGAGCACACAGCCGAGGAGACTGCAGTAATCTTCCTCCAACAATAAACCCCCCAGATAAAACATTTATCCGTCGGTAAATAGAGATATCAGAAATCAAAACAGAATTCAGATCAGATATCAGAACAGAATCCAGATCAGAAATCAGAACAGAATTCAGGTAATGTATCATAACAGAATTCAAGTCGGAAATCAGATAAAATATTTATATGATTAGGGAACACACCAGAGTTTACAAATATTATTCAAAGGTATTGGATAATATTATCAGGCAGAGAAACACATATCTTCAGTATGTCGATAGAATGTTGGAATTTAGAATCACTATTTGAAAGAGTTCATTAACCGACATAATCATCAGTTATCCAGAATATGACTTATTGGGATCATCTTATTCGGACACTTTTCGGAAGCTCTACGAAATCTGAAGGTATTCAGAATCTTTACAATCTATGACGATTAAACCGATTATCGAACAATTCCAGATTCCCATAACCAATACTTATCAAATTGTCAATTCATTAACCTTCCAGGGTATTTACTCTTTAATACCAAATATTCTTATCCATAGATAATTTTTTGAGTCATCGTTGAATATATCTTAAAAAAATGAATAAATATTCCAATGGTTTTTATTTCCTTTTCACGCTTCCACGATACCATGAAATGTTGACATACTTGATTTGTGGTTCCTAATCCATAGGGATGATACATCATGTAAGTTCATCCGAATTTCCAGACTTATCCTAATCACTTACTTATTCCTCAGTCATTGAGGTTACTTAGTTCATTTAGCATTCAAGTCCATTCCAGTTACTTCGGGATTTTCCAAAGTAATTCAAACGTTCCTAATTTCATATACATATTGCACTTCTGATCCATTCAATTTGGTCTTCGAAGTTGATTTATCGAACAAACGTCCAATTCTTAGTACTGAATGCGATCTAGAGTTGAACTGAGTTGAAATACTTCCAAAATTATCATCGAGCCAAACTTGAGAAGACGAGCACGCATTCAAGTAATATCTATTTCATTCAGGTATTGATATAGCTTTAGGGTTGATCTATTCACTTAAATTGTATTCCATTACTTTTAAAGGTAATCCAATACCTATGCTTATTTGGATTCCTTAATTAATCCAGGACATTTACTTAGTATAGGCCATAAGTGTATTTTGGTCATTTTGGCATTTAGTTTTATTCTATTCATTACAGAGCTTGAGGATATCAAAACATTCCTGAGTTTGGTGATATTCTTGGGTCATTTCTATTACAAGGGTATTCTGGTCATTTTATAGATCTGGTGTATTTCAATCCTTTCTTTCCATTCTGTCTTATTATTTAATTCCAACTTATCATTTATTCCAGACCTTCCAAACAATTCTGACACAAGAACCCCCTCGATAATTTATTTTTAACTCTGAATTTTCAGGTCACTGTCATCTCAGAAGTTGCAAACAGATTATCAGGAATTTTATGTACAAAGATAGGATTTTAACAATTAAATCCATACTTAATCGAGTTAAGTACAAATTCTCAAAGTACTTTCCCATTCCGGGTCAACTCGGACTATTTTTACCTCTCAAGGGCATTTTCATAGTTTCTTAACCAGATAATTTTGATATTAGCTCTTAACGAAAATAATTATAATTTAAAGATCCTATGGTCAATTGCTTTCTAGAACATTCTTTCATCTTGAAATAATTCCTTAAAAGACTTCTAGTATCTAGTATAAACCTTCTTGGGGTTAAAAACCGATTATCCATAATTTCCAAGTAAAACTAACATTTCTTATGCACATCAATAGTTTTAGCAGATCAATAATTCTTTTCAGATTTATTAATCCACTTCCAGGGACAATTCTTGTCATTTTCCAACATAAGGGTAATTTCGTAATTTTACCTAATCAAAATATTCTCATAATTTATCATCTAAGTACCTTTAATGAGATAAATTATAATCTACATATCCATGGTTAATTCTTTTATCACTTAATTCAAGAACTTGTAATTTAATTCCAACTGTTCTCCAATTTCTTATAATAGTAATCTGAGATATATTCAGTTACCTATTTTCTACCGTATTCGTATCTAGTGTAGATCTTCATTAATTACACATATGAGACCAAACATTTCCATTCATGAATTTACCAATACCAACATGTTCTATAAAGCATAAAGAGGTAGTAAAGTATTACCTCGATTTACGTGCTATATTGATCGACCATTTAAATTCCATTTGAACGCCCTCGATCTTTAATTCAAGTTCCAATATTTTCCTCATGATCCAGGCCATCAAAATTACTAACTCGTATCCAAATAATTTCCCTCGCCATAAAAATAGCTTATTAGAATTGAAATAATAATTTGTAAACCCAATTTGTATAATTGAATACTTGTGGGGTTACTATAATAATTAATCAGTAAAATTAGGGACTGAACCGAAATAATTTACACTATTGGGCCATAAACAAAAACTAATAAAAACTAGGAGACAAGGCCAAGTTCTTACCAAGCTTTGAAGACTCATGATGCGATTTCCCGCTATATATATATATATATATTTTAGGCACTACCCACGTGATTTTCCTTTTGAGAATCATAACCCCATTTTGCAAGTAATTGGTGTGTGGGCATTGCCACATAACCCACGTGGAGTGTCCCTTGCATGCACCACTCTTAATTATTAAATCTAGTTGTATCATGTAGTAATGAACCAAAGACCAAAGCTATGGTCAACGGTAGCCGTGAGTGCCATGAAGATGGCAGCATCCTCTATGCATGTTACGTGTCGCATGGTCAGTTGCACCGACGGTTTGCTGCTCTCATTTTCCCCGTGGACTCTACAACTCCTTACAAAGTCGTCTGGGTTTGGGGTTAATGCTTGAGCTTTCCCCAAAGCAACCAGCTCTCTGGCCTTAAAGCGTCGGGACGAAGAATCAACCAAGCTCTCGGGTTGGACTTGGCAACCCAATCGTAACCTGTTGATGGAACAAAGGGCGTGGTTATGAAGGCCGCCGCAACAGCCGAGCCGGACAGATCGTGTATCTTCACCTTCCATCCTTTCCTCTCTCTTCTCCCTGTCTCTATGTCTAAATTGTCACCCGAACCTGACAAGTGTTCAATGAATAAACCTGCACTACCCTGTCTCGACTGAATTCGCAACTGAAAATCGATTGTTTGTACAGGGAAACCTCGGATTCGTATCTCACACGCACATGGGGCAGAGAATGTACGAATTCCGGCTCTCGAAGAACTCAGGGCCGTTTCACGAATCCTCAGACCTAGTGAGTCTATTGATAACCTAATGAAAACCTGAGGATCCATTGTTGTCATGCGTATTTCCTCATTGTAAAAAGCTTAAAGCTACAACGACTTGAAAATCCTTTGAATGAAGCTTGTTCTTCATACAGCAGTTGAAAGAAACAAATTTAAAGGAAAGAAAAACGTCTACCCAGACTCCAATATTCCTTTGTCTTTGCCTCTTCAATTTCTCAATATCCCCGAACTCCAGATTATTTTGCGAGTTTATTGAACCATTTATAATAAAATTTCTTTATTCGATTTCAGGCTTTGGTGGATACTGCCGAAAGTGAAATCTGGAAACAATGAATTCCAGGCAATGCATTATCATTAATTAAATCCCATCACCCAATAATTTATCCACTAGTACCTACTATTTCATCCTCATTCACGTTTTTCTTTTAAAAATAAATTGCCCATTACTTTAAAAGATATCTATTATTGAGTGGCCCTCAATTTGTTTAAAAGATATCATATTTAATCTAGAAAACAAAATAACCCATACATTGGGGTGTTAAACATTAAATACAAAACGACAAGGCGCCAAACATTGGAACCCTTTGTGCTGAGGGCTAATACCCATGTAAGTACAAGCTTGAGATCTAAAAGATAGCTTGTGATTCTGAAATAGTCCTAAGTGAGGAAAACAATGACACCCGAAAACCCTAATCATGGAATAATTTGGTTTTTTTAAGAAGCTTTTCAAATGGTGACAATCCTTGTAACACCCTAGTAGAAAGCCAATTAATCAAGTACACTGCAGAAGCAATAGCATAGGACCATTACTTAATCGATAAAGATGTCTGAGCTAATAAAACAAGTTCTAATTCAACAACATGATGATGCTTGTGTTCTACAACCCCATTCTGCTCAGAAGTATGAGGACACGTCAACCGCTGTATAATTCCTTCTTTAGCCAAGACTGGTGACAATCTCCTAAATTCACTGCCCCAGTCGGTTTGTAAAGCCTTGATAGTAAGACCAAACTGATTAGCTACAAGCTTATGAAATAGTTGAAATGTTAACAAATCTTTATCCTTGCATTTCAAAAAATAAATCAATGTGTGTCATGTAAAAGCATCAACAAACGAAACATAAAAACGAAAACCATTATAAGTCACATGTGGTGGTCCCCATAAATCGGAGTAAACAATATCAAAAGAAGATACAACTATTGTATTCGATTTAATAAAGTTCAGTTTATGACTCTTGCCCATATGACAAGCCATACATTCTTTATTTACATCAGAATTAACTTTGATACGTAGCTCACTAGCGAATTTTACTAAATTATCAACAACTGGGTGACCAAGACGCCTATGCCAGAGTACATCCCGACGAAGTAGACACTGAGCTAGCAGAAGCTTCTGCAACATTGACTTCTAAGGAACTATCATCCATAGCAAACGAATATAAACTTCATGTTCTTCACCTTGAAGCAGTACAGCACCAGTAGCCTCATCACGAACACAATATCGATTGGCATGGAACTCAAGGAAAACATTATTGTCCCTAGCAAGCTTAGAAATCGAAAGCAAGTTCTTGGTTATTTGTGGAACATGCAACAAGTCATTCAGTAACAGCACACAAGAATAAGAATTAACATGAGAATGACCAATCAAAGTAACATCAAGAGGCATACCATTTCCAACTAAGAGTTTACCTGGTCCAGAGAATTTAGATTGATTCAAAACCTTACTAGAATTGTAAGTAACGTGATGTGTGGCTCCTATGTCAACCACCCAACGCTTAGGTTCTATGGAAGAAGTATGAGCTTGTGGTTGAGCAACCACAACTAAACCAGACTTTCGTTTAGCACATCACTCACAACCATCATCAGAGGATGACATAGAAGGATTACCGGTGGAGAAATCATTTTTATAATTCGATTGGTACTGCCCACGATGAGAAGAAGTCACACACAATAATTCTTGGTCGTATCTATGCGGAAAGCGATCAACAAGGTGGCCAATCTATCCAGAAAGTTGACACTACACATGTGATCTACCACGACCCCGACCTCCAGCTCAAGAGCCAGATGAATAAGCAAATCTCTTATTAAAATTTTTATTTGACATCAACGAGCTCTGAATCTCTCCTTGAGCAATATTTGCATTCATCAGCAATGACTCCAGCTGATCACCAAAACTAGCAAGTTGTGTTTCTACATCAAGAAGCATAGTATAAAAAATATATAAGGACAAAGTTTCCCTCATGGTAGTGATAACTGCCATGAAAGGTTGATATTCTCGTAGAAGCCCTTCAGAATACTAGCAATGTGTTCAACCTGAGGCACCACACTGCCACAAGATGCTAAGGCATCACACACCTCCTTCACACGAGTAAGGTAAGCACGCATATTGTCTCCTCCTTTTTTAATGACTGAAGTTTGTAATGAAGGCTCATGATAGCATTCGTCGAGCGATTAGCAAAAAACTGGAGAACCGTATTCCAGATGGCCGCTGTCGATTCATCTCTGACAAACTAAGGAAGAAGATGAGCACTAATAGTGGACAATAACCAAAAGGCAACTCCACTGTCTTGGGCCACAAAGTCTTCATATGCTTCATTGACACGAACAATGCCATCATCATCGACAACAGTCTCTGGCAGAGTCACCACAACACCTGTAAGTAATCACTCCAAACGATAACTCCGAATGGTGTGAAAACCTTGTTGCTTCTAAAGAAGAAATTCATCTCATCAAGGACAACATTCACCTTCTTGTTAGACAAGGATTTAGCACTGGTGGAGAAATCCATCAAGAAACCGCCACAATTGACAGTAAAACTCAAGCAACAGAAGCCAAATAGAAAGTCCCAAGATCAATGGCGAAATATACCATATTGGAAAGAGGGAAAAGATGAACACAAGCTACAGAAAAATGATATATCTTGAACATGCATTGAAACAAAGCTTTACCAGATTTATACCCACTACATGTAGCAGGTAGTTCTAACAAATCCTAACAACCAAGTAACAAACTCCTAACGAATTCAAGAAGTTGGCAAGACCAGAAGAGGTTTTCTCATAAGGTGAGAGCACGTCTTACCAGTTCGTGCAACCCTAGATTAGGGTTATGAATTTACAAGGGAAAAAAGGGGTTAGGATTTTTATAGAAAGTCTTAAAATTCGAGGACGAATTTTATTTAAGGAGGGGAGAATTGTAATACCCCAAAAATGTAGATAATGACCAAAATGTAAATTTTGAAAATTCGATGGTCAAAGTATAAAACTTGGAAATATTTAGGGAATTAAGTGATAAATTTCCTAAAGAGAATTTGATTTTTATAAATATATAGTTCACTCTTGAGAGTGAGGTTTATAGAAATTATATTTTTTGATTTGGAAATTTAGTAAAGAAAAATTAGAAAGGGTTAAAGTCCGGTAACGAATCGATATTTCAGATCGAATTGGAATTTTACAAAAATTTTAAGGATGTTATAAAATGGTTGGAAATATTATTTTAATATTTTATATCAGAGAAATTTGGTATGGATATGTGCAATTTTTCATATTTAACCGAAGCAGTGGAATATAGTGACTAAAATGCAAGTTTTGAAAATTTCATGGGCATTTTCGTAATTCAAAGTCAAATTTATTCATCTTTGACTTTGAAAGATGATAAGGATGACTTTTCATGGTTTTATGGTGAATAAGAAGATTCATTAAGGGTGATTTGGTCTTATCCCAATTAAATGAATATTTTATTCATTTAAGTGGAATATAATGTAAACAAAGATGAAATGCACCCAACATTTCATCCAAATTTGCTCTCTTCTTCTCCAACCAGACGTGGGCTTCTTCAAAGGTAAGAGAAAGCTTCAATTCAATTTTCAAGCAATTTCCTTAGGATTTTGAGTATGTTGAAAATAGAAAATTGTTATATGCGACAAACGCTATCATTTGGTACCAATATTGCATGATAATATTGTTAGTGTTCAAGTTCATCTTGAGTTGATGAAGGGGATGTTGATTTCTTGTGTTTTATGGGTTATGAAGAGTTAAGTGATTTTAAAGAATTGGTTGTAAGAATTGATGAAGAACCTAAGGATGAGATTAAAGAAAACAGTTTATATTTTGAAGTTATCAGTGGGTTTGAAAATTAACCAGAAATTATATAAAACTAATTTGGAGGTTAGTTTTACATATTTTTGTTCATATATTGATCTAGTTTTGTTTAAACAAATGGGGATCAATTTCAAGGTGTATACAAAAAGATATGAATTTTTAACAAAGGAAAGGTCAGAAAAAAATCGGACAGCAGATTCTGTAAAACAGATTATATTGGTCAACTTTGAAAATTCATCATAAATTGTACATAATGAATTAGATGGAGTTATTTATATGGATAGATTTGTATTCGAGTCTAGTTTTCAACAGAATAAACAGAATTAAATTCAAGTGTGTATATCAATACAAAATACTAATTCTTTAAAGGTAGTGCGAGTTGTCTGAATATGGAAAATTGATGGGTTGTTGTGTAAGTGTAATATAATTGATGTATTATGCTGGAAATTGTTGTTTGATAATTGAAATGAGTGTTAGATGTGAAATATGACTATTTTGGAAGTTTGAAAAGATTTGTGATTTAAGTACAACATTTGTATAGTTGGGGTACTTAAATGTTATTATGCTTTTGTAAAAGCCTTTGAATGGTAATAATTTCAATAATGGAATTATTGGTATTAAGAATATAAGTGATAAAATGGTGAAGGACCATTTTGTGTAAATTGGAAAAGTAGGTTCCAATGTTAAAAGGAATTATTAAGTGTTAAATATTTTAGACGAAAATGAGTTTCAAGTATATTATGGAGTTATTTTGGGATATGTTTATGTTAGTCCAATACTAACATATATATCATTATGAATTTGTGATTTATATAGATTATAATTGATTTGCAATTGAAGCAAGTCAAGTACAAAAAGGGTTTATTGTGGACAATAGTGAGGCTCACATATTTTGAAAAATATAAAGTGTCAAGGTGAGTGCAATACATGCATGAAATTATACATGGATGTTTTATAAATCATCAGGAAGACTTGTGATAAGTCAACCTTGTTTATATCAGGATGATATTATGTCATATTTTTATAAATTGACATGAAATTGATATGTCACAGTATGAAATTATAATGCAGTGATCATGAATAATGTGATATTGTACCATGAATGTTTCGGGTATGAATTGCCCAATGTTAAATATTGATAATATACTTTGTCATGGATGGATTGAATAAAATAGACTATATGCCCAAGTAAGTCATTGAGGGACAGGGTATAGTTGGCATGACATAGAGTATAGCAACTGCAGGTTTATATTAGCACTATAGTGTGTAAGGACACTAAGTGCAGGTTTATGTCCGGAATAGCACTATAGCGTAAGCTTAGTGTAGGTGGTGGACACGACCTTATGTGTATTATCCGGATTAGCACTATGGCGTAAGCTTAGTGCAGGTTTAGCATTACGGTGCAGGTATTTTGCTTGAATACCCAGGGTCCCTAGGGTGTTATATTGGGCTATTGTCTATGGTTTATGATTTATTGCTTAATAAATGGTAAGCATGCAAATAAGATTACGAGCTTATGGAATAATGGCAAGTATATTGGTAAAATAAGCTTATGGGATTAAATGGTAAGTATATTGTTAAAATAAGTTTACGAGCTTATGGAATTAAATGGTAAGTATATTGGTAAAATAAGCTTACGAGCTTATGGAATTAAATGGTAAGTATTTTGGTAAAATAAGCTTACGAGCTTATGGGATAAATGATAAGAAATTTTATATAATTTTTTTATAATGGTAAAATATTGGATATGCTAGTAAAATGATTTTACGGTATTTTGATCTTGACATTGAAATTCATGCATGAATTGTATTACACTGATTATTGTTTTAATTGCCGTACTAATTATATACTTAGCGTGTGATGATTTTCACGCATAGGTAAAAAGCCAATAGTGGAATAAAGAGTTCGAAGTGACATCAAGCATCGAGGAGTATATTTCATTATCATTAAGACATCATATGGTGTAATTTTGACTTAGATAGTGGCATGTAATTAATAATGTTCAATTTATTTTGTTGAACTAATTTGGAAACAAAACAGTAAAGTTACAATGATGAAAGATTAAGTTTTATGAGTTTTATATGTATTTTTCGGAAATTACTGTAGCAGTGAATAGTGATGAACATTATTGTAGCAGTGAATAGTGATGAATAGTACCCACGCTTAAAAAAAATCCAGAATGCTATAGGGGTACCGATATCCTACTACAGGTATCGATACCCTCATTGTTCACTGTTCACTGTTCATAAAAAAACTTTTTAATTAAATTTGTTAAAATGAAACATAATTTATATGATATGATATTTTTATAATATCAGTTACCATTTTAATTGAATAAATTTTAAATCGCTTTTGAATTGGAAAATGGTTTTAGA